GCAGCCCACGCAGGGCTGTCCTAAGCAAAGGTGAGATAGAGTTAGGGTTTTGCTCCCAACCCCTTGTCCAAGCCTCAATTTCCAATTCCTCCCTACTAGATAGTGCAGTTCTCATTACATTAGTTCCTAAAATTTGCAAACTACATGTTTTCAATCTGTGAAGAATCCATTCATAGAGATATTTATTAGAAGCCCAAGCACCATGTGAAACAAATGTATGGCCCACATTATATCATGAAAATAAAATTATAATTACCACTATCATTTTCCGTGCTATCAGATCTCTCTTTAGCATAATGAAGTTATGTAGGATTTCCTAGGCAAGGGAGGAGTTACTCTGACACGTGCTGGAACTTCCTTTAATATACATGATTTTTTACAAGTTCACGCACCTATCTTCTGATTGCAACAAGGGTGAGAAGGCTTACAGGGTGTCCCTGACAAACTTCAACAGTGTCCTTGTGACAGCTAGAGTAGATACAATTCTTTTGAAGTACAGCTGCAGTGCCATGACATCATGTCAGTGTATCCATCTCAAGTATTTGATATAAAGGCTAGAGGTGCATAGCAAACTGACCTTTCATTCTTCTATCTAGGCTGCTATGATCAAGGACAGAATGTTCTTATAAATCTGTCCTCTCTACCCAACCAGGATAAGACAAGCACTGGGAAAACAAAGGAGACTTCATTTTCTTGTAGCCAGAGTAAAAGTAGCTGAACAAAAAGTAAACCGCCCCAAGGTAGTCCTTGATGTTAAACTATCTTTATTAATCTCAGGCAATAAGAAAGGTAAACAGCAGAGATTCAGCTAGCAACAGGAACTACTCTAGTGCCATGCTCTTTGTCACCTTGTTGTGGCATTTTAAGGTTATATAAAATACCATGAAGGAGCCAGGGCATGTTTCATTCCATCTGCATAATGTCTCTGCCAAAATGAGTCTGAACACTGGGAATCTGGTTTGATAGAGGGAAGTTTGCCACGTTATTGCTGTTTGCACAGCATGTCATTGCATTGGGATGCGACATCACCATGCTATGGCATGACAGGTCAAATGTCTTTCTGTGCCATCAGCTCAACTGCGACATACGGGAGAGGGCTGCCCCAAAGGAAAAGCCTTTGTTCCTTAAGTTTAGTCTGAGAGTGTTGCTACGTTCTTTGCAGTGACCAACTGGCACTCTAAAGGCATGCTGACAAAGGGAGGGTGGGAGCTGAGGATAGGCTCAGTGGACAAAGACTGGCCAGGAAGAGTTTATTGCTTCCTGATTACATTCCAGGAGCAAAGCATAAATTTAATCTAGGTTTGAGCTCACCATATGTTGTGGTCAAAGATGTAAATCAAATCTCACATTTCATTTCACTATCAGTGTGGCCTGAGTTCCATTAGTCAGATCAATGTGCACGATGCTTTCTCAAAAAGAAGTGCCTAATTTGCTGAAGATTTTCATGCTGTTGATAAGTTGCATGCATCTCTTTATACTTATCACTATCGTCTTATTGCAGAGTTATGATTGACAACGTGCAGGCTTTATGGGATACTCAGTTTGACAGCAACATTCGTTCTACTGGGCACAGCTATAAGAAATACAACAACTGGGAAATGGTAAAGTCTATAAATATGTTACCTTCTTGAATCATTATATAAATTCCCAGCATGATGCTATGGCAAAGGAGACCTTCTTCCACTGATAAGGTTGTCCATATTCTCCATACTTCACTCTCCTACCCTAACCTATCCCCACATTATCTGTCATTTCTTATTCAGTATCATGCGGTTAAATCCTGCCTCTAATTGATCAGCCAAAAATGGTAGTCTCTGTGACCAACTTTTTACATTTTCAAACAAACACATTCATTCTTTCTTCCATGCTGCCACTCCTGCTTTGGTCTGTTCCCCTTTAATGTATGCAAAACTAAAACCTAATCCATCTCCAAACCCTGCCCAATCCCTTTGTTCTGATGTCTACAAAACCCTTGAAAAAGTTTTGGCTGCTGGTGTCCTTAAAGCACAGCCTATCATGTTAACAAGTAACATCTCACAATGTCCTTGAACTCCCCCCTGTTGATTTCTATAGCCATTAGCTGTTTTTCATCTTATACATAGATTATAAATTCTTTGGAGCATCTTTATTCTGTTTATCCAAAGCTTGGCACCATGAGGACCTGCTCCATTACTATAGCTCCTCAACATATGGTAATATAAATAATAAATAAGAATAAAAGTACTCATGTGGCTGATGAGATTCTTGGATGTATGTATAACCAGAGGGATGTTTAGTGTAAGTAAGGTGGTTTATTTCCTCTGTATTTATTACTGATATGACTGCTATTGGAATACTCTGTCCAAGAAGGATGACAATAAAATGGCAACAGATGCAGAGGAAGATCAACAGAATGGATTAAGAAATTATACTAATGCGGGAAAATTAAAAGAGCTTTTTCTAAGTTTAACAAAGAAAAGTTTAAGGACTTGATTGCAGTCTATAAATCCCTACATATGGAACGGGAATTTGATCATAGCAGAACATGGTACAACAAGACAAAGTGTCCAGAAGTTGAAGCTAGGAATAAGAGATGTACATTTTTTTCACAATTAAGGTAAAAAACCAAAGCAATAACTTAGCAAGGGTTAAGATGGATTCTCTCTCACTGGAGACTTTCAAGTCAAGACCAAATGTTTTACAAAGATACAGTCTAGTAGAAATAGAGATTGCTTAAAGGAAGTCATATGGACTACATTGTATGGGAAGTCAGACAAATAAGTCACAATTCCTTCTTGGCTTAATATCTATTAATGTATTGTTTTGGGGTTAGTTATACTTCATAACTTTCTTAAATAGATAGCTGCTTGGACTGCAGACATGGCTGCTCAGAGCCCAGACCTTGTCTCTCGCAGTGTGATTGGGAGTACTTTTGAAGGGCGGCCCATGTATCTCCTCAAGGTAACTGTTTTTAATTCTTGTTACTAGTGTTCTGTCCTATTAACATGCATAAAATTATAACATTTATTAAGCCATCACTTAATTCTGGTATCTTATCATAAAGCTTTTCAGAAATCAAAGAGTTTATAGACTACTTTTATTGTGATTTCTTTCTTCCTTTTGATTTAAGGCAAAGGGTTTATTAAAAGAAACCTGTAATAAATTTTTGAAAGTTCAGATCTATAAATTTAACCATATTCCTCTGGGCAATGTAAATGATTTACCTTTATGTTCACTCCATCTGTTGTTTGTAAACCCACTTACGATAAAGTATCTATAAATGTCGCTATCTGGCAATAGGAAACAAACCCAATTTGTCTGTATTTTCTTCAGATATGATATTCTGTCCTGTAGCTCTTGCTACATGATATAAGATACTAAAATTAAATATGAGTGGGGGGATCCCAAGATTACTGACCCTAAATAGTACCAGAATTTCCAAGAATTAATCATCTTACTTCATCTTGTCAACTAGTAATACAAGTAGGAAATATATCATCACTGTGCAGCAAACAATCTGTGAAAACATGAGCTTAATGGAATTAATAAAAATAAAGCAAATGCAACTTCATGACTTCAGCTTGCACATCATGATTATCTAGAGGCAGGGGAGCACTC